CAAAACATATCAATGCTCAAGACGTTAGGGCAAATTGAACATTAACATAGAGAACATTTTGATTAAATAAATAGTTTATGACAATAATTCTAGAGATAATTCTGCGCAAATATTAGGTTTTCAGCAGAATATAAGGCGTTATTAATGACAAGGAAAAGATTTGTTTAAAAGTCTGTCATTGTTAGGTTTATAGCTCTTACAACGTTTTCCTACCACTGCGATTATTTGAGAATCCATTGAATGAATCCAAGAAGAACTGAAGAATACAAAGAATAAAAGGATGTAGTGAGTAATTGAAAAAAAAATTAGGGAAAGAATAATTGAAAGTGGCTGCAAAACAAATGACGTACTTGTAAATATGCATCCAGTTGTGCCTGCTGATTTGAACATGAATAAATTACGAAACAACTAATCAATAAATATGATAAACGATTTTAAATGTTTAAAAATGATGTTTAGAATGTGTTTATTACTCATTTTATGGTAATAAACTCTAAGGGACAAAAACATTTTTTGAAGTCATTGACCCAACTCAGTAATCAATTAGTAAGTTGTCGAATACTCATGTCAGAAAGGAAGGAACTACGGTCTTACCAGCATTGTTAGTCGTGGAAATGTTGACGCTCTCAAAAAGTGTCAGGTTTCCAGTGCTTAACTGATTAGTTTTACAGCTACGAATCGTTCCTTTTAGAGTTTTATTTTCTCCTAAATAATAAACAAAAATATTTAATTTAAATCACTAGATCATTTATATTTAATCTTAATTTATATTTTGCTTCTAAACCCCCATACTTGATAACGCAAAATTAAAATAATTCAAAACGATATATTAATGAAAATTATTATTAAAGGAAATAGAAAATGATTTGTACGTACAAAAGTCGTTTGTTTTAGATATTACCATTATGTAAGCGAATTGAACACTTCATCCTTAGAGAAACTTCAATCGGCATTTCATATTCTCGACTCTAATAGTCTTATGTATGCTCATGTCAGTATAACTATTTAGACTTTGTTCATTTACTTATAACGTTTTAATTTGTAATGCTTTAACTACTCTTATAGAAAAAAGTAAATTAATATTTTTGAGAAATACACTCGTTTCCATAGAAATAGTAACATATTCCATTTGCCAACATAAAATATGACTGTCAATTTATATGGAAAATTATTGAAATGAAAAGATTGGAACTCACTTTTGCATTTTACTACATCAATGGAAGGACCTGAAACGTTCAGATATCTTTAGTTTCAAAACAATTAGTCAATTAACAAATTTTATTTTCAGAGGAGGTAATACCTTGCAGCATCCAGTAGACAGAAATCCCTATTTTGGAATTTTCACCTTCAATGAAAAAATTGGTGCTATTTTCGTCTCCATCTCGTTCATAGTCAAAGCTGAATTCAAGTTGATCTTTTTCCGTGTTTTCGGTTAGGTTCTCTGTCGATATAAGAAAAAATGGTATTAAGTTGGGAAAATATAGTCTTTATTGTAATTCCGCATTTTTACCACAATTTATAATTTTTCTATTTGTGCACAAAATCATTCCATACCAAGTACATAGCAATTCGCTCTCCTTGTACAAGTTGACCTTGAATTAGGTAAATGTAAGTTAGTTAAAATTAAAAATAATTATTTACGTGATATTATTCGGAATTAAGCGCTAATCAAAACCGAATCACCCATTGATGTGGCCAAAAAACGAATATTAAATCTTGTTACAACATAAACTCACCTCTGAAGTTGAATTTAATCCCTTTACAGAAAACTTAATAAAGACATAACAATTTCCTTTTGCAAATCGAGCAAAAGGCAACGAAGTTTTCGGCATTAATTCACCTAAAATTGATGGCATATATGTTTTTAAGTCATTAATAAAAAAATATTTTTATCTCTCTGAACGAGCGATAAATTAAAGGTAAATAAAGATAAATAAAGAGTACATCTAACCCAATTCAGCAGGTCTGAATTCGCACTTTGGGGCAAATATCGCAGTGCAATAGCACTTGCTTCCCGTGACAACCAGTGTTTTGAATTTCTCAGCGTTATTGATTGTCATATTGACATATCCTATAAAAGGCCGACAATTAAGTGTTTCAAGAGTAAAATAAAAAACTCCTACCAGATGCGCTATTACAAGGTTGTCCAATCACTTTGCCTTCCATAAAGCAAGAGCCATGTTCAATCGAAATGGAACTCTCATCTGAAGTCACTTTCTAAAAGTGGAAATAAATTTAAAGAAAACAGTAATAAACAACATTTTACTTCCAAATCTCCCACGTAAAATAATAAAGGGTCTGTTTTGCCACTTGGTGTTGTGACGAGTCGTGAACATAGTACGTCAGACATTTCTGAACACTCCTTTACACAAAGGGCTTCTGTTAGCAACAAAGCAAGAGTGAAAAGAATGGAGTCCATTTGTAATTTCCTGTTTCAAAGTTCGCTTTGGTGTTATATGTACCGATTCTCTCCATCCATAGTACACCATAAAATTGATTGACAAGATTCATTAAATCAATTAATGTAAACCTTTTTATTGGTTAATAAAAACATGGCCACCAATATCTATGGCTCAATTTCAATTACTTAATGGGGTTTGAGATGTGATGAACATATGTTACAATTCGCTTTCGAATACAATCATTCCGCCAGCAAATGTAATTCAATTCAGTTAGAGTTTAAATATAATTCATGCCTTGTGAGGTTATGCTGCGTAAATTAGTAAAGGCTTTGTGCATGGAAATGTTCTACTGGTCAAAATAGTCAACAATTCCTTTTGAAAATAAAGCTCAAATATTTAGATTTTTCGATCTCTTAAGATATTCTTGATGCAAAATGCAAAGAGGAAAATTGTGGAAGCACAATGTGGTTTTGTGGAACACGTCATCGCATGCGCGTACACATAGGCTTGAGGTGCGGCTGTACAACCTCGCGTACGGATTGAGGACAAGAGCACGCAGCCAATAGCAGCTCAGTGACCCTCACTTGTTTTACCAAATCCGCCATGTTGTATGACTGAGTTCCTTCCTTTGTACACAACTTGCGTGGTTTATCTACTGAATTAACGTGCTCCGTGCTACACGTCTGTTTCCTTTATAGCTGGGCCATAGCTTAGCTAGTTCTGGGAGTCTAGCTAGATGTTGGAGAATCTGCCATAGAGATTTCTGAGTCAGTCAGGCTTTACTAAGGTAGCAATCCGCTACAGTTTAATTGATTACGAAATTAGCATGACTTTGTTCAAGTTTCAAACCAATAAAAATATTCTGGAAGCGTAATCTATTTTAAGTCTTATTGTTGAATTGTATTAATAATTACATTTTTCCTTCACCTTGTTTATTTTCAGGTTTTCTTGATTTAACTGACAATGGAAGCAAGTAGAAATCTATTTTAAAGTTTAAAATAAACTGTAATTTTTTGCTGTAAAACGATTTTAATTTACGTCACAAAAATTAAACAAAAAGAACTTTGATTTGCATTTCTAATTTATATCTGAAACTACTGTAATTATTCAATAAAAACTTGTTTTCGTTTGCAATAAACTAAATCAAAATTTTATGAATTAAATTTTTCTCTCAGCTTCCAATTTTAGACAATTTCTAGAAGAATGGTAGAATAATTGATTGGAGTTACTTTGCTGGTCGAAACAAATTACAGAGACCAATCAGAGGCAACAATTGTGAAGCTGCCATGACGATATGCATGCTGGAAATTCTGTTTCTCTCACCGTGCTTCTACCTTTCATACATCCTGTAGATTGCGTGCTGTCACATATTAAATTTCACAATCAACAAGACGCTCCTTGAGATATGACTTATTTAGATGACACACTCAATGTTGAAAACCTAGTCAACAAAGTTTGGTCAAGTTTGGTATAAATTGTATTCAATTTTATCAATCAGTAAAAGAGCGCTATAAAATACAAAGTGGAACAAAAAATAGAATACATAAACTCCAATCTATTAATATAAATCATGTCCTCCTCCATAAAAAACACATGTTCATCTTTCAGACAATTAAGCTTTTGAAACAAATTGTGCTCCATTCTCATTAAACGTTAGCACACAACAAATTGTGTGCTAAAAATTATATGACGAAATTGAGTCAACTATAGTTATTGAAGTTTGATTGGCTACAAAAGGATGTGGTCTATTGCATTAGTGCAATTACTCGCCATAGTCTGCCACTATTTTATTCTTCGTGCAATCAAACACTATGCTTTTCAATTGAATTTTAAAAAGATACAATTTCCATCTGAAATCCGACAAATTGATCACGGCTACCTCTCTAAATATGCTGATGGGTTCAATGTGATGCGAAAAGAAATGGCACTAATCGATTTGTCAATACTCGTAAGTGCATATTCACGTCAAAGGGGCAACATTTTGCTTTCTAGACCAAAGGCGGCACTGCTATTCCTGCCCATTAACTGGTCCTTTGTACACAATTCCCAGCAATTATGAACAGTGTCTTAATGAACAAACATGTCAACCTCTCAAATTGGAGTCGTTTTCCAAATGAGTAGGTCATTGTCCTAAACGACATTACCAACTCATTAGCATTGTTTTGGCAGTCATGGACTTTGCCTACACTAGCGAAATAATCATAAATGTTGAAAATGTTCTGAGGATATATCTGATGTCTCACATTCTTGGCTGCCAAAAGCTGATTGACTGGTCAACGGATTTCATCAAGACAAGGTTCGTTTATTCTAACAAAAATAAACAAAATTTGTGCGTGTGTGTGTGAGCGTTAGTGGAACCGTCACAAATGTACACTTCTTGATTGTCAGACATTCTTAAAATCAATAACTATGTAAGACATTTTAGTGAAGTGAGTTGCCAACAGAAAAAACGGGTCTTTATTAAAAAATGAATATTAAAACACTAGTTTTTGCAAGAGATGCAAGACGATATCCTCCTTCATCTAGCGTTCAACGTTTCTGGCACTACTACTCATGCAATAAACGTAATTGTCTTCAAGACTTGATCAACTTACTTTGATGGAGGTTTGGTCAGCAGGCAATGTCACTTCAAACACCGATCTCATTGGCGCCTGCATACCAAGAGAAGAATGTGATTTTGAGAGATTAGCCTCCAGTCAGCCTTTCCTCCAACACGTGGGAGTCGACCACCTTCAACTCTTACTGCAAAGTCCATGGATATGTGATGGAAACAAGACAATGAAGTTCAAGGCACTCTGCACATGGTCGCGTGTCTCAACCGTGAATGCCAAACTCACTAAACGTGAAAGGCACTTCAAGCATCTCCTGGAGTTGACAACATGAAAAGATTGCCGAAAGAGTTTGTGACTGAAGTTTCAGTGGGTG